AGAGCAAAACAAAGACTGATTATAAGAAACAGGGCTGGGATTTAGTTCAATGTTGTGGGCACCTGCCTGACAAGTGTGAGGTCCTGAATTTGATCCCTGGTACAAAAAAAAAAGGAAACAGGGTTACGAATCTTTTGCAAATGGGAAATGAACCGATAGATGGAGGCAGAGGAAGGGAAGGGGGCAGGGGAGGCCAGGGGAGGTGAAAAGAATGAAGGTATGGTACAAGCATGCGCCCATTCTTCAGGAGGAATGCAGTCTTGATGTGCTGTAAACTGTAGTCATAAAACCTAAACATTTTTAAAAATTAAATTTTTTGTCTGAATTACTCTTTGAGCTGCCATGTCTTAATACTGTGTCTTAATCAGATGACACCCAAAAATGTGGATCTTCCTGTTTGGAACTGTGCACCACCTTCTTCCCATCAGATACTGATGCTTCTTTGGGAAACATTTTTCCTGCTGTGAGCACATGATGAACAGTCTGTTCGCTGAAAGTCTCCACAACTTTGACATCATAGGGGAAATAAATCCAGGAAAATCTCTGGGCCCAATGAAATAGATAAATGAGGAGAATAGCGAAGATGTTCTTAGGGAGAGAATGTTTTTTCCTAACCATCCATTTAACGCCAGCTAGTCCAGTGAGTGGAGCAGGCAAGGGCTCTGTGAGCCGGAAGCAGGATTTCCCCAGGTGGGAGGAAGCATGTGAAATTGCTGACACTGATTTGAGAAATTTAAATTGTGAAGGAAAGGCAAATAGAACCCTGACATGGTAGTTTTTTGCTGAAACTAAGATCAAAGCTCATTATTTCTAAGAATAAATCAAGTGAAGGCTTTGAAGATTGCTCTAATTTTAAGAGAAGACAATTTCCTAATTTTTACTCACTTTTGAGCAGCCTGTTTATAGTTCCATTGATCTAAAGTGTCTGTATTTGGGGAGGCATATTTTATCAATCGTTTCCATTTAACTTGGTAATATGATTGTTAGCACTAAGCTGCGTCTGCTTTCCAGCTGACCTTCTTAGTACTAACTTGGAAGGTCGGCATATTCAGATTCTCCTTACCCATATAAACTATACCTTCTGCATACTTTTTTTCTCTTGTCATCTGTCATGAGCTACCAGCTTGGGAGTATTCTGTTTCTTGATTCAAAGCCCAAGAAGAGGACTTGACCAGATTTTAAAAGATCTCTCACTACTTTGACAAGGAAAATAGGTCAAAGATATCTTGTTCTGTTTTTCCCAGGCATGTGCAAATTGTGAAAGTAGGCTAAGCCCCAATTATGGTTCTGGGCCACTTCAGAGCCCTTCCTTCACATTTTCTATTACACAACTGCTCCGCTCTTTAAACCATCTGTCCTTAGAAGAGGAAGTGGCTCAAGACAGTTTTTTTTTAATTTTCTATTCTTTAGATTGAGACTTGCATGAATTAACATCATCTAGACTGTGATAACTATGCTTTATGTAATTTTAAAATTTTCTATTTTATCTGTATATTTTAGTGACAGATGACTTAGCCTTAGTTAGTGATTAATTGGCCAAGAGAATGATGACGTTGGGGTTAGGTTGGTACGAGTTATGGGAAATACCCCAAATGCCAAGCAGCTGAAATGAATCTGCCTGAAATAAATTCTTTAGCGGATATATTGAAATAAGAAAAAACACAGACAGTCATGAGTATATTCTTCTTATAAGGGCAAAAGCAACACACTTACACAGGCACGTAGGACATTTGCTAAGCTTTGATAAAGTGAGAATTTACACAGACACCCTCAGTAATGGGGAAAAGAAACTGAAAACTGTTTAGAAGATTCAATTAAAAAGCATTATTCAAATACACTGTAAACTGTATGTGGGAGTTTCAAGGGCCTGAAATAAAGCTTTTATGTAGTGAAGTCATCAGATCTGACTGATACTGTCAAAGAGTTAGCTAGTGAGAAAGTAAACTGTTGTCTGCAGTGTTTTGTGACTGCTCTACATGTCCATGGTTTGGGGGAACTTTAGACTTCTTAGAGCAAGGGTCAATTAAAGCTCTCTTAGGACAATTTTTCCAATCATTTCTTACTTTTGATTTCTGGAAAAATGTCTTTGGTTTCTCATTATAGACACAAGCTCTTTTTTGCTGTCATTAGAAGAACTCTGATTTATAGAAGTATAGTCAAAACTGGAATTCCCCCTTCTACCAACCATACCGTTCAAAATCAAGCATCACTTAGCATCACTTTTATATGTTCAGATACTCATGGAGAATGTCGTCTCTGAATACTTCTCTATGCTAAAGCTTTACAAAAGGTCCAAAATCATTAAAACTGTACAAATTCAGAAATACACACGACATGCAGTTTTCCCACTACAACATTAATGATTTAGGTTAACAAAGGTGTAGAAGCCACACATAAAGTGGAGATCACTGTCCCACACAGTTGGATTTGAGATGTGACAATCTTGTGAAAGGCAAGAAGGGGGAAACCTATAGAATCATATTTTGTCAACAAAATCAGGACACATAAAATGTATCAGGTGCATTCTCCTTACCTCATAGTAGGAATGAGAAGTATTTCTACATTCAGAAATGAAAACCTAAAATCCTCTTTGCAGATACTGACAGGTTTCTGATAACTGGCAAATCCAACAATCATAACTGTCTTCACATTTTTGCTTTTCATATGCAACATTTATTGCTTTTCAACCCAAAGAAAAATAATCTGTTCCTATAACAATTGGAGGTAATGTCTCAAGGCACACTTCCATGTACGTGAGAAAAAGACAGAGTTCATCTTCTGAAACTTCATTAATGAATTTTTAATTGATTCTGTGGGTCTATCTGAATATCTACTGCCTTGTATTGGTTTGTGCTGTTGGTTTTCCAGATGGCCTTTTGAACAAACCTTTGTGTGAGCAATGGTTGTTGCTGGAAAAAAGAGAAAACAGAGTTGGTCGAAAGAATGAGCTTTCCTTTAAAAGGCCCACTGAGGAAGAAAAACACTGTTCAGCTCATTCTTTCTCCTGAGATAAGTAACTTCCTCCTTTCTTTTTTTCTCACATGAAACATCACATCATTCTTAAGGATGAGAAACTTACAGCTGAAAAATGTGATGCTTTCTCTGTGTCAGGAGGATAATGTTGTCATTTAAAAGAAAATAGTTCTTACCAAGCAGAGCAATCACCCTGAGTATTTCATTCCTGGAACTGTTTGCATTCTTTCCCAGTGAGCTAGAGAGACAGACATCAGGACCTATTTATAACGAGCAAGACGAGATAGCGAGCTGTTCAGTGCTGAGTTAAGAGTAAAAGCTTCAAGTGACTGGATGGAATTGCTATGTGCCTCTTCTAGGAAGCATCTTTTGCCTTTTGAGGGTGATGTGGCTGTATGTCAGCTCTGTGAAAGTCTAGCGCAGCGACAGCGAGTGATGTGAACATGGAAATAGTTGGATCGAAACCATACATGGTGAAGTCGAAAAGTTATTCTCTCCTAAGCTGTTTCTGAAATATGTTGGGGTTATTTCAGTGCCTGAAGAATAAATAGAACTTGAAGCACTCTGGAGAATATGTGAGAGACTCTGAGTTTTCCCAGGCAGAATCTATTACCCAATTGTCTTTTAGCTTTCACTCTGGCTTTAGAAAACATTTCTGCAGCTCTCTGTGTGTCCAGATAGACCAACCTGCTTGCATAAAGACAGGAGAAAAGTTTCTTCCTCATGCTGTGTTTCTTGCCAAGATCAAAGCACTGAAGGAAAATAGAAAGCAAATGACAAAACCCCAATGACAAGCTGACAGTATCCTTAGTCTGAGCTCTTTTTTAGCAGAGGGAGAAAACATGTAACAGAGATGTAGCCAATTATAATGGTGTTGGACTCATTTCTCTCCATTCCCTCCTTCCTAGTCCAAAGGGTCCTTTCATTCAGAAATGCAAATCAGTAGCAAAACTATGGGTGGAAAGCTTGTCTAAGTGGCTCCATCTTGTCAGTTCACTGTCGGTCCCTGTTTCTGTGGCCCCTGTGGCCATGATCCTGGGGCCCCTGTGGCCATGCAGAGGAGACAGCCTCTGCTGTTTTCTGGCTTTGTTTCTCTGTTTTATCAATATTGAGATGCTCTCTTTGACTTATGTAAACATTTGATACAATGAGAACTGGCTGGTTAACATGACACAGTCTTGTAAACCTGGAATATAACCTCTTAGCTGAAACCATGCATGAGAAGTGATTTCTTCCAACATTTCTAGCTCCCTGGTGGAATCACCATCACATATACCTGGCGCTCACTCTTCTAGAAGAACGGTGGGATGTGGAGGGCACCCAGGGTTGAAGGCATCTGTTTTCCAGAGAAGGATTTCCTTCTAATTCAGCATGAGAAAATAACAAAATCTCAAATTCATGTAAGTTTGTGTTATAGATCTAAGGGTTTTTCTTAGGCACCACTTTTCAGTAGCCAGACCCAGCAAACATCATAGTGACGAGACAGAGAAAAATCTAGATCAATTTGGTTATTCTGGGTTTTATCTCAGCAGAGTTTGGAGTGGATGAAATGAATTCTATACATAAATGTACTTTGATCAACTTCAAAATGCTATGTAAACTAAAGATTCATTTGAAGAAATTTGCTTCCAATGACAGTGTTAAAATATATACAAGGTAACTATCAGGAAATTTTCCTAAGGGCACATGGATTAACTTAGCCACACCCTGAATTTAGTATGTTTTTCACCTTGTAAGAGGAATAACTTACTATTTCCATGTATAAATGTGAAAATGAAGGCTCCAAAAATCATGCAACAGGTAAGTGGCAGAACCACAGATCCTTATAACTCCAAAATACGTGTTCTAAGTATTGGTTCTGGTACCTGAAATGAAGACTGTACTTTTCATTGTACCCACAAAACACCTAGTAGATAACTGTACCTCCACTGGTCATGGACTAAGTTTGTTAAGTTTGTTTTGGCTATATAATTTATTTTAAATAAAACATCTTGGAAGACTTAAACAATTCTATATTCTTTATGAAGGGAGCAAGTGCAAATAGGCTGCCAGGAGCCAGAGGACATCAGTGACCCATCAGCAAGACTCTTATCCTTGGTAAGAAAGAGCACTGAGCTCAGTACCCAGACAGGAATTCTCCCTGTTCCGCTGTGAGGTGTGTGGAAGTTCTACTTCTGGAATACAGTGTCTGCACAGCCCTCTGCCCTGAAACTCAATGGTTCTCTGACATAGCCTATCTTTGGAAGAGGCGGCATTGTTTATTTAAGTCATGTATGGTTCAAACCAGAGGGAAGACATTCTGTGGTTGATTCCAGTGATGGTGGCAAAACTCCGAGTGGACTCACAGCCATGGAGTTGTAGATTTTAAATTGGTGAATGGTGTGGTGAATGACCTATCAATAAAGCTGCTGAAAACAATAAATGCATATACAAAATTAGAAAAACTCACATACTGTGCTTCATTGGAGCATTGTTTCTCAGAAAAACAGGAGCCGAGGATTGATACTAGGATTGATACTAAAGGATAAAGTAAAATTGGACTGAGTACTGTGAATATTCTTCTGAGCTGCAGCATGATGTAAGAAGAATTATCTTGTGGAGAAACTGCGTGATGTGCTCTTCTGAACAGAGCTTCTCTCCAGCAAGCTTGTCTCCCCTTGCCGACTTTAGTGCAGGTTCACAGGACAGAAATTGTTTCTGCTTCTTTAGAAGGTTTCTGCCAATCCTTTGGACTCCACACCCTGAAAGACCTTTCCTGTTGCCAGTTTCCTTCCCATTTTACAGATGCATAAACTGAGTGGGGAAATGATAAGTTATTTACTCCTGCCTGATCATCCAGGTACTGATGGAATGAATTTAGAGTCTAGATGCCCACGTCCTTACTAAATGGCATGATGATTAAAAAACAACACTTTAATTTGAAATATTTTAACACAACCATGTCTTATGTAGACATGGAACTTGCAACTTATCCTATGTTTTTGGGTTCAAATCTCACTGTATGAGTCCAATGCATACATATTTTGCTCTTGCACTTTTTGTTTGCCAGGCTTCTTTGCCCTAATTCAGGATTTTAAAATAGATCATCACTGCTAGATAATAAGATTGCTAGGGTCAATATGTAAATGAAGGATACCATATTTTCCTTTTAAAAATACATGCACAGATACAAAATGAAGAAACAGACATGCAGAGTAATTAATTTTTCTTAAAACATCTGAATCTTTCCTGTATCTTTAGACCCCAGTCTGTTGAAAGTCTTTGAGGTAATTTTTGTCAAAGTGAAATCAGGTTTGGAAATCTCTGGCTCCTTTTGCTAAATGAGGTCTTGTTAAGTGAGCTCAGGTGTCTGTTTGCCTAGTATCGATGCCATGTGTGAGCTTGCTGTCCCGTGTCACACTGCCCCTCAGGACCTCCCTCCCATTCACCCAGGTAGCAGCCATATGTAGTGAAGCAAATTTTGCAAATAATGATAATATTGTGTAGGTGTTGAACTACGTATCACTCAAAAGGCATTGTGCACACATTTCATTTTTTGGACAGGAAGTTTCTATTTAGTCTATGGTTTTGGGTATGATTGGGAGCTGGTTTCTTATTCAGAAGCTGACAATGGCATATTTACCACCTTGCTTATTTTCTTGGGGTTTTTGGCTATTCCATCTAGGCACCTGCTTTAGCAGGTGCACCTCATCAGCATCCGGATGATGCAAGGACTGAGCTGCTCAATCAGTGCTGACTGAGAAACCCCAGTCACTTTCCTTTGAGAAATACCTTCAGAGTAGTTGCCTAAACCCTCAATTTGACTATTATCTTCTTTTGAAGTTCAGTAATGTCTCCAATGTTTAGGTTTTATTGGTTTTGTTCTGTACTGTTATGTTCAATTTTATTATTCCTGATGATATAGGCAATTCTTTTTAAGGTAGCAAGGGGTATTATGGTAACCATCATTGATTACCTGGTATTCTGTTTTTACATCATGTACTATGTCCATCCTTTATTTTGACTGACTCTGCTTTGTTTTGTCACATTTGGTCTTATTCTCTTCCAAAAAATGTAGTAAGAACTGTGGTAGTAATAAAACCCAAAATGTTTAAATGTTATTGTAAAAAAGAGAGGAAAATAAAGTGCTCTAAAGGACACAACTGCAAGTGTGACCATATTACTAGGTTTTTGTTGGATCATTGAACACAACTGTTCGAAGTTTCACTGTTTGAATGTCCACTTTGTATGCTTAATTTTGTAACGATCAACTATTTCTAAGATGACAATATGTAATTTATTAACTAGTGATTTCTTACTGTTTATTTTTTGAAATTCTGTATTATTTGTACCCTTTTACTGTTTTCTTTTCTCTTTAAATAAAAAAAAGAGACAAATACCTGCAGGGCACAAGACTTCAAAAACCCAGGCAGAGCCTTCATGGGCATCTGCCTACCATGGTTTTGTTCTTGTAAAAGAGTAAAAGATCCTTGCTATATTGCTCAAATCTTTTAAAATTATTAATGCTTTTCATCCATTGATTGGCAACATGCGTCAAATATTATTTACGGAGGAATTATTTTTATATGAATCAAATATATCTGAAACAGACAAATCTACCTTAATCACCAGACAGAGCTTCAGACAAATGATTTTCTCTGTCATTCATTTATTATATTAAAAAATCCTTTACAGAATGCAAGCATGAAGACTTGTTGCTCTGGGCTGAAGAGTGTTTCCTTGAAATCCACCCTCAATGTGAGGGTTTGCAGAAATGAGGATTTCATGAGACAGCTGGGCTGACTGTTTGCCCTCCACCACAGGATTAGTGCCTTATAAGAAGCTCCTCACCGCTGCTCCCTCGCTCCACTCTCCTATCTCCTTTCTCCTTTCTTCTCTCTCCTCTTTTTCTTCCTCCATCCCTCCAACCCTTCTTCTTTGTGAGCATATGGGGGAAAAGCAGCCAGTCAGAAACCAGGGAGAGAGTTTTCACCATAAACAGAATCTGACCTTGATCTTGGACTACTGTTAGGAAATTAATTTTTGTCATTGAAGCCACTCAGTCCATGGTATTTGTTATATGGTGAAACAAGCTGACTAACACCCTGCCATGTAGTGAGCATCAGGGTAAATACGACTGGATCATTTTGGGGAGCCAAGCAGTTGGGTGCTTTGTTTTCTACAGTAGCTGAGCTTAACTACCCAGGAAAAACTCCGTTTACACTTAACTGCACAAAACACCCAAGAGGCTGCACCTGTAGGAAATTTTAGCTTATCTTGTCTTGTAGAACTCTGAAGTTTTTCTAACAGGTTAAAAGAGGTTTTGGTTGAGTAATAGTATTCTGCATAAGTTGTATGTTACTTTTGGTTATGTCCAGTATAATGGCAAAATCAGAGAGACAAAGCAAGGTCAGGATAGAGTCTAGGAACAGAAAATAAGAACCTGAAGAAGAACGAATTGTAGACTACTTTGATTGTCAAAACCATATTCTGTCTCATCTTAATAGTTTAGTAGGAATAGAAATAAAAACTTCCACATCTGGCTGTAATGAATACCTGCTACTAGACTTGTTTTCTTGTGAGACATTGTAAAAGTGGGGGTCTATCACCATCTCCATCTCCATCAAGCTCTGTCTTTGTATCTTTCTTTCAGGACTCCCCGCAGCACAGGACTATGATGATTGAGAAGGAAGGTATGTGGGCCAAGTTCTGAGATTTACCCTATTTGTCCAAAGGCACTTTTCCTACTGTGACCCAAGAGATAGAGACCAAGTATAGCGTCAATCTAACTGAACTAAGCAGTTGGAGACTATTGACATGTCTAAATTTGCAAGCTAGGATACAAACAAAACAAACAAACCAAACTAAGGGTGAGTTTCCTATGCATGAGATGGGAAAAGGAGGAGATATAAATCCATCAGGAGTTCACTCTGGCTCTTTACCAAAGAGCAAGGTCTAGCACAATAACTGCTGCAGGCTGACACTGTGTTTACCTCAGTGCTGCGGAACACCGAGGTTCCAATCCAGCCAGGGTGGCATCTTCGATGAGTGCCTTGGAAATTTAATGGAGATTCCAGAGAAGGGGCATGTTTTGAGTGAGGACCACATTAATATGTAAGGACCTCATTCAATGACTAAGGTTCAAAGCAAAATAGACTCATTTTTAAAGAGTAGCACCCAGGAAAAGCAAAACATTCTCTCAGTAGCGTACTTGGCTGTGAGAATAAAACACAGCCCTTTTAAAGTAGGGCAGTGTGGCCCAGGGTGTCTATGACACATGACCCATGTGTCTAACATACAGTAAGAGCTTAACTTGAATTTCAGATAGAGGAGACTATGTAACACATAAGCAAGAAAATATTATCTTATGGAAACAGGCACCGAGGTGACTTGAATACTGGTATTCACACACATGATAACATTAAGGAAACTTTCATAGATAATGTTTGAATACTGAAAGGAAAAGGCAGTCATACTGAGAGAAGCAAGGGCATTTTAGCAAAGAAATGAAATCTGGAAGAAAGAATCCGATGGAAATTCTGGAACTAAAAAGCACAACGGAAAGATCATTATGTAGGCTTGACAGCCAATTGGAATCAGTAAAAATTGTCAATGGACTTGTTAATAAAGTTATACAATCTGAAGATTAGAAATATTGAAAAATTCAGGGAACCTTCACTGTCTGTTGAAATGTATTCAATTTGTAGTTGGAGGGAAAAGTATCGAGAGGGAAAGGGAATTCTTTTAATTTTAAAGAGGAAAAAAATAACAGTAAAATAGTTTCAAAACAGGTTAATAGGAGAGTTATAGCAATTAATACACTGCATATTGTTGTCTTTGTAGCAGTTATTTGGAGTACAAGAATAGGCATGATATCTTGTCCAAAGACTATTAGCACTAACCTTTCTTTTCAGTGAACTCAGAGGTACTAGCTGTATAACTATCTTCACTATCTTGTGGATAGATATGTTTTTTTCTTGTTCTTTATTTCTTTCCCTTTTCGTCCATCACAGTTTGTCTTTTCTTTTGAACAGTTTCATCCCAATTCACAATACCTATGGTACATTTTGGATCTTTTGTATTGTTCAATTCATCACACTAATGAGACAATATGATGTTTACACGTGAGTCTGATTTATTTCACTGACAAGTATGGCATCCATTTACTTATAAAAGTCTCTGATTTATCCTTCTTAATGGCTGAGTAGTATTCTCTTATTAAAAAACCCACATCTTTTTTATCCTTTCCTCCACTGATGGACATTTGGGTTGATTCCAAGACGTAGCTATTACAATCTGTGCTGCTATAAATATAGGTGTGTGTTGCTGTGGTACATTTTTAATTCCTCTAGGAATATACTCAGAAGAGAAAAGCTGGGTCTGGATGGAATGGGACCTCTAATCCTATGTTTTAAAAGAATCTCTACACTGATTTCCATGGTGGTTGTACCAGTCTACATTCCCACCAACAGTGGAGGAGGGTTCATTTTTTCCCAACAGACCCACTGACATTTGTTATTGGTTGATGTTTTTGAGCCATGAGATGGAATCTCAGAGCTGTTTTAATTTGCACTTCGTGAACCACCAATGATGTTAAACTTTTTGTGTGTATTTATTTTCTAGTTGTATTTCTTCATCTTGTAATGTGTATTCATCACAGATGCCCATTTTTTTGGGTCTTAGAATTTGGGGGGGTCTGATTTTTTTCAGTTCTTTATAAGTTCTAGATATAAGTCCTCTGTCTAAGGGATGACTGGCTATAATTTTTTCCCATTCTGTGGGTTGTCTTTTCACTCTGTTGGTAATCTCTTTTGTTGTGCAAAGGCTTTTTGATAAGGTGAGGTTCTATTGTTGATTCTTTGTAATATCAAGGGAGAAATATTTAAAATGTTAATGGCTGAAAAATTCCCCAATTTGATAAATGCTATCAATTTAAATATTCAAAAAACTTAAAGCCCAAATAAAATAATGAAGACCTAGCAACACTGTAGTTAAGCCACTAAAAGCAGAGCTAGCAAGAGAACATTTTTCGTTCTGTTTTTGGTACTGGGATTGAACTCAGGACAAGAAAACTTTTTAAAAAGTCTTGACTACTAACTTTCAGGAATGATTGAATGTATTTTATAGTAAATGCATAAAAAAGTGACTTGCTTTTAAATATCAAGAGAAAAATGAGCTCCAAACTCATAAATAATTCAGGAAATCTCACCATGGTGGAGATTAATCAGATAGGGAACTGGAGCACAAGACATAATAATAAGTAATTTGCATTTTCCTATGCTATTCATTTGGTCTATTTTTCTGCACAAGGGAGTTTACCAGTGGGAGTGGTGACTGGAGATGGCTCATAGATTTATTCTTCTGGCATCACTCTGCTAATCATTTTTCCCTAAAAGACTAATGTAGCATTTATTTTATCTCTATTAATAAGCTTAATCAATATAAAATATTGAATAATTGAGTATCTACTATATGTCAGGTGCTTTTAATTGTATGATGTCATCTGATCACTGTACTGCTCCTTAAAAATAGAATTTGTAGTTACTGTTTTTACATTTGAGAGCATGAAAGCTTGCAGAAGCTAAGAAAACTTACCCTAATCATACATTAACTTAATAAGGAGTTTACACCCACTGTTACCTAATTCTAAAACAAATGTTTTAGCTAATATTATCCAAACAATTTTATGATTACTTGAATTTAGGAGACATTTCTGTTTGTTTTAGTTTATCTTCTGTTTTTCCAAACAAACTTTAAAATATTTCTTGTAGAACTGCTAATACAAGAATACCCTTTGATAGCCAAATGCTTTTTCACCAAAAAGCAGCTAAAAGGTGGACTCATTTATTATGCTAATGTGTTGCTTTACGCCATCAGATCATAAGTAATAAAGCCAGACGATAAAATCCTGATTGTCATTGATTAAGGACTTCTGTGTTTAATTGAACTTTATAAATATTACAAATATGTACCAAAAATATTGAAACGATTACACAAATGTTGATCATGTTTAAACAAGTGCTAAACTTTGCCAACTTTGCTCCAGTTTTTAACTATAAAATGGCAGATATGCTTCTCTGTGGACGCATTTTCCTTTGTGGTGAACATCTGTGCTATTTTTTCACCTGTGAGGTTGAGGTACCCTATGTCACTTTCATGCAGA